ATCCAGGGCAGCTGCAATACCAAGCAATAACTTTAGCAACAGTTCTAAAAATAACTTGCTGCAGTGTACACTCAGGTATTTCACAACACGAAGCCTGAATTTTAGCACTGTACTGCTATACTAAGTTCTAAAATATTACAGTACTTCCAGATAAAATATTAACGCTTCTTTAAAAAACAGACAACTCAAACTGGTTTGTAGATTGACAAAACACTACACATTTATCTTTGGGGACTGAAAACCACAGCAGATTTAGACACAAATGTAACAGCTACATTCAAAATACATTCAGTCTATTTATGCCAAAAATACATTCAGTGTAAGTTACAATTTATTGCACATTTCTTATATTCTGTAGAAATATATCGTACCTCTTAATGCTTATTTCCCAGACATTCATAAGTGGTGCTGCCTGTGAAGAGAGACACGGATGCCTCTCCCCAGCAGCTTCGCAGGGACGGGGCAGCGCTCCCGCAGGGGTGGCCCCACCACACCGTCTGCAGCCCCGCAGGCAGCTCGGCCAAGGCAAGAGCAGCCCGATCCCCGGGAGGGGACCAGCTCCCGGGGGCACCGGGTGGGCACCGGGCTCCGCACGCAGCCCCAGGACAGCTCCACAAGAGCCACAGGGAGCCACAACCCTCCTCCACACCACCACTGGGCAGAAGGGCACAAAGGAGGCGATGGCGCGTCCTCCCACCCGTCCTGCCAGCGCCCCCCCGGCGGGGGGCCCTGCCGAAGCGCTGCCTCACAGACCGAACCCCGCTGCTAAACGTGTCCCTGTAGTGCCGAGGCCGTTTGTCAAACACCGTTCTCAGCAGCAACAAACGGAACACAAAAACTTCCTTCCCATTAGCAGGGGTGTGCTGGGGACACCCTTCAGCCCATCAACGGCCACAGGAGATCCAGGCAGACAGGGGCCCCGAGAAGATCTCGCTCTGTTCAATGTTAAGACCTGTTGTGGGGACTAGACGTGTTTCTAAACCAATCTCTTTATAATTCTTGATTCTATTACCATAAAAAAAAAAAGAGTGACCCAAGGATGACTAAAATATAAGGTTCATTACGGGGTTACACGAGGGCATGACCTTGGTTAAGTGCAGAGGACTATAAAAGTAGCAAAGTGCAGAAGAGATTACAGTTCCAATTTCCCAAGGGGCATTTGGGGAGAGCAGTTAAGGAAACAAACAACAAAATTAGGTGCTAAGGAAAATGTTAATTAACTTTCCCTTTCAGTTCATATTCCATGCATAAAGTTAGGTTGTTATGAGAAGCAAATTAAAAAAATTAGCAACTCCCCTAAACTAGAAGTGTCAAGTAGGAGAGACTAGATGTGGTGACTGGTCTTGAGCATCCTTGAGCTTGAGAAGTTTTACAAGCTGGAGAAGTTGTGCATTAAATGAAGATTAGCAGGAACATTAGCAAGCTCTCAAGAAACCCAAGCCTCCCTAACACCGCAAAGAACTGTCTCAGCATAACCACTGCTCTTAAATTTGAACAGGACAAATCTACATTGAGGGAAAAGGCCACTAAAACAAGGGGGATTTGTTGTTTGTTTGGTTTTGTCGTTTGTTTTTGTTTTAAAAGGCCTGTACAGTTTACAAACATCTTAAAGCCCAGTACAACGACATCCACCCCCTGGCTCGGTTCTGTTTAACTCCAGTTCACTAAAACATACATCTACCTCTCAACAACAACAGAAAAAAGGAAACCCGTGCAAAAATATTGAGCTGAGTAAAAGCTACAGCAGACAGACCATAACGTCTCAAGCCATGAGATATGAACAGGAAGGATGTGAAGTATTGCCGGGGCTGGAGGTGTGACCCGCGAGGTGCCGCGGAGCAGAGCAGCTGCGCAGAGCATCCCCCCGCCCCACACACCGCCCCGCCTGGCGCCAAAGGGGTCTTGTTCAAATTCCAGGGTCGTTCAACAGCTTTCAGAGACTCCAGGAGCGAAACTGAAAAAACACAGTCTCAAAATCCACCCCCACGTAAGGCTGACCAAAGGGATGGGAAAAAGCAAGGGTGGAGCCCAGGGCCGACCCCAGGGGAGCGCAGGATGGTGCTGGTGAGCTCCCCCTGCGCTGTTTCCTTGCACCACGGTGTGAATAAAAGCTGTAACATCCGCAGGAGCCTCGCGAAGGCGGGGACCACATTTATTTCAGCAGTCACAACAGACACAGACCACAGCCCGGTCTCGGAGCAGGGCTGGGCTTGGGAAGCCCCCGGCAGCGATGGCAGCACCGGAGCCGCAGCTGGCGGTACCGTCCCCATCACCGGCTCACCGCCGCGTTACCCCGTAAACCCGCTGAACACCCCCGGCTCTACCCCGAGAGGGGCAGCCCAGTGCCTCACGCCCCAAAGCAGACCTTAATTCCACAGCACAACTTCAGTCCAGCACAGTTCCTCACCCAGAGGAGCTTCTGCACAGACACCAAAACCCGTTCAGAGGGAAGGAACGCCCAGGACAGCTATCGGGTACACGCCAAGGGCACAGGAGCTTTCAAAGGATAATATAAATAAAAGGTGCGTAGGACTGAATTTAAAATGGAAGAAAAATCCCCAGAGAGCATTCTGATCACTTGCCCCGTGAAGTTCAAGGAATGCCTCCATTTCAGGAAAAAAAAAAATAAATTAAAAAGGGTATAAGAGAAGCTAACAACGTCCCTTGGTCATCTTGCATTTTGTCCGGCAACTGATCATGTCTTCACTAACAAGTCTTACTGCATCAAGGCTGCTGCAAACACCCCAGGCTTTGCTAGCGACGTTCCCCCACAGGGCTCCGCCAACACCCACCTCTCCTCCGCCCCCAGCGCCCGGGCAGGAGCCGGGAGGAACCTGATTCTGCCGCGTTCTCCTTCCGAGACGACAGCACTTTTGGTTTGAACATTATTTCCCTCAGTTATCTCAGGGTTCTTTTAAACCACTCAGTGCTCTGTGACAGGGGCTCCCGTGCGGGGGGGGCCGTGCTGCGCCCCGGCATCACGGGCAGGGACACGGGGGTCCCGGTACCCCCCCGGCAGGTCCCCCTGAGCGACAACTCTTGGTGCTTCAGGAGCTCCGCTCTTTCATACATCCTCCTTGTTGTTAATTGTTCTAAATGACTGGGTTTAATGCGTATTTTAACACATTACTTTGATTCTTTTTTTTTCCCAGAAGAGCTGACTGGGCCTGCGAGTGCTGGGAGCTCTGGAAAGATGGATGTTTCCTTTTGGGCATCTTCCTGAGTTCATATTCCATGCATATTCTGAAAAGTTCATCTCACCTGCACAGTTTAAATATTTCTGAAGAAACAGAATTAATACTGTGTAAAATTACTCCGCTACCATCAACTTTAGACACCTTACTCTGAAAATTAAAAAAAAGTTGATGTCAATGGTGAAGACATTTCCTCTTCCCACTTAAAAAAAAAAAAAATCTTTCATTGTTCCTTTTTAACATGAGAATTCTTTTTCAGGTTACATTCTACAAGAACAAATGCTGGATCTTGGGTTTGCAAATCTTTTGATACTCAAGTCAGCATCACACAGTTACAAAAATCACCCCTCACACAGCTTAGAAATTATGTCTCTCTCGAGCTCCTGGGTGCAGTTCATGCAGCTGAAGCATGTAAGAATTAAATCTGTAAGATGACTCCGATTATATCTCAGAAAGCATACTGGAGAAAAAAATCTATTAGCAACCTAGCAGAAATATTCCCCGCTGTTCAGCTAACAGACCGTGCAAAGACTTGCATTATTTAACACAAGCAGGAGCAACTAGTGCAAGCAGGTAACCTGCATTAGAGCCTCTTCAGGGGGCAATCAGCACCCATAAAGGGTCTCTAATATCCCGGGGGGGTCAGGATGAAACATGGAGTACTGATACTACTGACGGTCCCACTCAGTAGAAGTTTAACCCGTTCTTCCAGGTAAGAGCCCCAATTCAAGAGGTTTCATGTCAAAGATTGATCTTAAAAACCTTAACTAGCCACCAGCTTACTTCCACAGAGCTGCACGCACTACACGGAATTTTTGCAAAGCTTTGGCATCTCTGGGCTTCATTTACGTGGACCACCTGGATACAGAAACATTTAAAGAACCACACTATTATGAGATGTATCCTTTCGGCTATTAAAACCATCAGAATACCAGATTCAAATGTGTGGACCATGGCGTGGGGCAGAATTCACAAAGTGCCAGAACATCAGCGAATTTTGAAAAAACAGCCCCCTGTTGATAGCTTGCAGTACTACGGAAACAGGATTAGCGCTGTTAAGAGTTTTCAGCAGGCTGGTGCTATTTCTGAAGCCCGTACGGAACCTCTGGACGGGCTGTACTGGCATCGTGCAAGGCCACCAGCACTCTGAATTCACCCTCGGGCAGGGCCCAGCCCGCAGTGCAGGTGCATTCTGCAGGTTTCAACTGTTTTCCAAGAAATAATGTTGTTAAAGCTTCCCCCTAAAACATCAAAAGGCACTACAAAAACGTTACTAGTGACAGATTGGCAAGACACTGCTTAAAAATATATACTTTCTCAGTTTAGGTAGAATTTCTCCCATTTCATCCCTACGTATCTATCAGAAAAATATTGCCTCTATTATTTTTCCTGCTGTTAAAAGAAAAATTGTGCCTTGATAGATCTTGTTCAGTGAACAAATGAACAGAGTAAAATAACTCCAAATCCTAACTATAATACTGTATATGAAATCAAGGCAATAAAAATAAAAGTTAATAAAACACTGACACTAGATGCTTTTGTTCACAATATATATACTTAGTGGAATTTTCATCTTTTTTAGTTGCTTAGGTAATGGCAAAAATAGTATTTAAATATGCATTTTACTGACAGCCCCTTTTCAGATTTCTGTGTAAAAAAATATGTAAAAAGCTGGATTATATTTGGTCTTTTACTTGGTTTGAGGACAAAATATGTGAGTTTTTTGCAGACAGGCTTTAACCAGTACCAGCTATTGCCAATGCACTTGGGGTTTGACTAGGATAAAGAGTGGAATGGCGAAAGGTATTTTAACACTGTCGTGGTGTTTTAAGCTCTTTTCTGCAATTAGTGTCTTAGTGTTTGATTAGAGAACCAAAGCAAGTCACTGACTTGCTGTACAAAATACGAGGCATGAGTCAAAAGCTGCCCCTTCCAGTGGCCAAATACGAAGCCAGATGCCAGCGTGCTGGTTTGGGCACTTGAATACTGAACCACGTTACCTGAGGTAGACCAAAAATAAAAATAACATCACATGTTAAAAGATGAACAGAAGAATTGGTTCCCCTCTCCTCCGCCGGGGAGCCGTGTCAGGCTTTGGAGTCCTCCTGAAGGCCGAGCTGGGAAATGCTCTTCTTGACGCGCAGGGCGGTGAGGCGCGCGGCGCCGTTGGCGTGCCAGCACTCCCGCATGATCCTGCCCATCACCCGCAGCGCCTGCAGGCCGGAGGCAGGAGAACGCGTCAAGAATAAGAACAGCACCTCCCGCTCTTCGTCTTTTCAGTGCAATACTGGAAGGTAAAGTATAGCTCTCCGAAATGGTAACACAACAGCAATAACCTAAACCGAGACCGATATTGCCGGGAGTTCAGCGTGCGGTGCCGAGACAGTTCTCTCTGCATTGATCTGGGAGCTGAAAAGGAGCCAGACATCTGACACACATTTAAATCCAGGAGAGGATGGACACGGAGCTCCCTTTGAAAAATTCTGCATTAACTTAAAAATATGCTTTGTAATAAACTGGAAAACTGCTTTTACCTCACAGCTTTGCCACTGGTTCGGAATATTTGGTCTCAGCTTCTGCTCACAAACCACCCTTCTCATATCTTCTATCGAAGGATCAGAAGGCACAACGTCGTAGTAAGGCAGCTGGTATTCCTCAGTGATTCCTAGGGAAGATTTATTGGGGAGGCAACACAAAATCCAAACCAGCTGCTCCAGAATCAACTCTTAATTGTCTGTTTTTACAGGCAACAAGAGAGAACATTTGGGGTCACCTTGAACAGCTGCTCCACAACAGACTTCTACCACCACATACTGCCAAGGTAATTGAGAGTGCAGGGGCGGGGACATGAATCCTTTAATTAATTTTGTTTAAGATAAAGGCGACCCAGATTGCAAAATGAAAAGGCCAGAAACCTCACCTCCAACGGAGCACCTTCGGGCTATCTCCCAGTACACCAGCCCGAGAGAGTAGATGTCAGCACGCTTGAAGGACTCGAAGATGTTGGTGTTCATGGCATCATCCAGTATCTCCGGAGCCATATACCTGCCGAGCACACAAAGGCCGCTTTGCCAGAGGCAGCTCCCGCAAAGGGTCGCGGCTGCGCTGCCGGGGCCGGGAAACAGCCGCTGGGAAAAGGGGAAGGGAAACTCCTTTGGAGAGCGGCTGGGAGGGGAAGCAGGGGGCTGGCCTGGGTGACGGGATTAACGCCGCGGCCGCCGACACCCCACGCGTCGCCGTGAGCCCTCAGGGCGCTGGGAGCGATGCCCGGACTCGGCCCAGGGCCAGGGCTGACGGCATGCGACGCCCGGGCCACAGAGCCGCTTGGGCTGGTGGCCAACGGCTCAACAGACGCCAAGAGCGGAGGGGGAGGTAAGGGCCGAGGAAATCTGCCCCTCAGCCCGCCCTCACCCACCTCCTGGTGCCCACCCTGGGGTTCTGCGGAATGTCGATGGTGTTGAGCACCGAGTCGTGCTTCACGGCCAGGCCCAGGTCCGCGATGGCGCAGCTTTCGTTCTTCTTCACCAGGATGTTCTTAGATTTCAGATCTCGGTGCGCGATCGCCGGCTTGCCTGTTCACAGAAAGCACCCTCAATTCTGACAGCAGTACGAATTTTAATACAAGGAGCAAGGACACAAAGCCGGTTTTATTCAACTTCGTTACGACACCCTGTAAAAAAACATTGAAGCCTATCTTGTACCCAGCAAAGCTCTGCTAAATGACATCAAATACAAAAAAAACCCTCGAGGGCATTTTTGTTCCGGTATCTGTATTTCAGGAATAAAACACAGAAGAAGAGAAACTGTAACTTTGCCCTCCAAATTAATTTAGAAAATCCTTTGCTAGCGCTCCCACAGGCACCCACTTAAGGATGTGGAAGGGGGTGCAGACAGGGAACGTGGGAAGACAGCATTCCTATTCTCTGCTGACACCGTACCACACACTGTGGCGTAACAGTTTGTACAGTGCTTTGTGTCTGTACAAAACCACGTCACCCATAAGCCTCTTTGCAGATACCACTGAAGCTTCTTAAAATACACGAAGGCCAAGCGGGGGGAAGCACTCGCCTTGCGTGCCGACGATCTCCATGTGGAGGTGGGCCAGGCCGCTGGCCACCGACAGCGCCAGCTTGACCATGCCCTCCACCGTCACCATGCCCCTGTTCAGGTAGTCAAACAGGGACCCTTGCTCGTGGTACTCGGAGACAAGCCACAGCTGAGTCCATGTCCCGTTATCTACACAGAGGAAGCAAGATTATTCAGCTTTATTAAAAAAATTACCCCAGAAAAGCCTTCCCTGCCACATGGCTGGCTCAGGCATGCAAACGGAGACGTTTGCCAGCCCCCAGCGGGAGGGCTCGGGGCGGGGTTTCCAACACCCAGACAGACACCGGGAACTCGGCACAGGACTCGCGGCGTACCCTTGTTATCGGCAGCAATAAAGCCCAGGATGTTTTCGTGTCTCAGCATAACCGTCTGATAAATTTCTGCCTCCCGAAACCAGGACCGTTCATCTCTGGAGGAGAAGATTTTCACAGCTACGTCTTCCCCACACCATTTTCCACGCCAGACTTCACCAAATCGGCCTTTTCCTACAATTTCCTGCAGGACAATAGTCCTGGCGATGGTTCTTTGTACAAGCAGAGGTAAACCTAGTTTGAAAAGAAGAGGTGGGTGTTTGTGAAACAGTTCAGCAGCAATCTTTAAATCCCCAAGTCGGACATTTCCCAGCGAGCCGTACTCACAACTTTGCTTTCAAAGGGTACCAAGGGAAAATCCTCTCCCAACCAAAACCTCCTAAAATCCTCCTTTTTAACGTTAACGTGCCAGATGAGCATACATCGTGCCCGACACCAGGTACAAGAGGCAATCTCAGATCTGAAGTTGGGCGTGAGCCCTCCCTGCCACCCGCCCCGCTGGACCACAGTGCGTGGCAGTGACAGCCCAGGTCACAACAGGAATTACACAGGGGACAGAAACAGAAAAGGTCTGAAAAACTTCATCTGGCTTGGTATGAACTACAGTTTGCATAATTAGTTGATCTGGTCTGGCTGAAATTTTCAGAGAGAAAAATAAATTATCATAGCAGTTTCATTTTGTTTTGCTGGCCATAAACCCCTGCCTCGTTTGATCTGATATGGTATTTGTCTGGGAATTAACGAAGAAATTTTTTTTTTTTTTTTAAATCAAGACAACCTTTTAACAGAGCAAAATAATCGGTGGGAAAAATTGTAGTTTGCAGGCCAGCTTACTCAAATTTATTCAAATTTTCCCTTTGGTTTCCTGGACAGAGCCCTCGCATGGGCCCGTCCCAGCTGCCTGTGGTCAAGCCCTGGGTTGCCTCTGGGCAGAGAGGAGTAAACTGGTTTGGCCAAAATCAGAAGAAACCCCAGCGGTGCACGCAGGGCTCCGGTGCCTCCAGGGTGGGTCAGCACAACTGCAGCCCTGCGATCAGCTCAGGGATCTCTGTGAACAGCTGAAACTTCAGCGTAGATAAAGCCAAAGCCTGCCCCTTATATCCGTGGAAAAACATTAGGGAAGTACAACAAATTAACCCCGAAGGGATATACCATAGTTCATGGAAAATAAATTAAGCTAAGCACCATTATACATTTTTCACTTAAAACTGGGCTGTACACACCAGACATGCCGCCAGGGGATGAGCTGGAGGTTTTGAATTCCCACCTCATTTTTGTGTTTCTTTGATTTAACCAGCTCCGAGTAGCAACGGAGGCACCGCAGTAGACAGAACAGCAGAAGTGGGGGAAATACTGAGGCGGCTGGCATTCTGTACAAAACAAGAATTTGGAGTAACGTTGTTTCGGCACTGCCATAGCAATTTCAGGAGCAGCATCCTGACTCATTCAGTTAAATTTAGTAACTTCTATCATCAGCTGTGCCAGCAATGTTTTGTTTAACACCTGAAACCGCCTTCTGAATTAATTTTTTAAGTTCTTCCATTCAAAGAATCGAACTTCTGCAATTTGACAGAAAAAGAGCCCTGTTGCCACTGCAAGGTGTGGCCAAGCGTGTTGGCACAAAACCTCCCTTGAGAAAAAACTCGTCACTGGTGTACGAGTCTCTGAGCCAAGGCCCCCAGCTGCACCCTCCGCCCGGCAGGCGACGTTCCTCATCGCCCTGCGAGCAAGGCGGCACCTTTGCCTTTGGTTTAAACCATCACGAACGTGGCCGGCAG